TGTTGACTGGACTCTAGCACCCAGCGTCCAGTCAGTAGCCGGAACCTGACCAACGTCCGGTCAGCACTGACCGGACACGTCTGATCAGGATTCTCCCTCTCTGGAACCTTACTGTAGTTGACTGGACTCTGGCACCCAGCGTCCGGTCACATTTCACTCAGCGTTCGGTCGCATCCAGATGACTTCACCTTGATCAAATGAACTGATCGGACTCTACGCCAGCGTTCGGTCACACTGGAACCAACGTCCGGTCAACATTTGACCCTCCATTCACTTCCAACTCGAAATCATATGTGAATGAAGTTTGCTCCAACTGATCTTAGGGCTACTTAGGAGCTACCTAGTGCTAGATTTGACAAGTGTGCACCACACCTAACCCACTAGACTCACTTAGGTCAAGTTACTAGTCCATACCCCCCTTAATAGTATGGCCAAAGGAAAAACAAAGTCCTAAACTACTTTAAGTGTCTCTTCAACATCAAACGACACTTAGAACTAGTCCAACCTTAACCTTGTCATCAATCCTTTGAAAACTGAAATGATTTCCATCGTAGAAGCATGACAACCATGATTGCCCAATCAATTGTCATTACCATGACCTAACTTAATTGTCTCTACAAAACACACGTTAGTCATAGTAATCTCGTATTGTCATTAATCACCGAAACCCAACTAGGGGCCTAGATGCTTTCAACCCATAAATGGATTTCTACAGGCGGCATCCCATACGTTCTTTTTCTTCCACGACAAAACCTTTGGGTTGTGCCATGTAAATGTTTCATACAAATCCCCGTTGAAGAATGTCGTCTTTACATCCATCTGATGTAACTCTAAATCGTAACGTGTCAATAACACCATTATGATTCTAAAAGAATCATTGCATGAGAGTGGAGGGAAAACTCTCATTGTAATCTATTCATTCTCTTTGTGTAAAGCCTTTTGCTACAAGTCATGCTTTATATCTTTCCACATTCCCTTTGGAGTCATATTTTGTCTTGTAAACCCTTTCACAGCCTACTATTTTGGTTCCTTTAGGAATTTTTTCTAAGTCCCAAATATTGTTGGTATTCATCGAATTCATTTCAACTTCCATAGCTTCTTGCCATTTAAACGAGTAAACGTTTCTCATGGCTTCTTCAAATGAGGTGGGATCAGCCTCCATTTGAATTTCTTCACTAACATAGACATCATAGTCATCAGAAAAAATAGGTTTACTAATTCTTTGAGACCTTATGGGTCCTTAGCTACTGGCACTTTCATATGGGGCTATTGTTGCTCTTCATTGCCAAGAGGCAATTGATTATACAGGCTCCTATATTACAAGATCCTTGTTTGCATTATTCATCTTCTTCAAAGAGCCAACAACAGGTGTTGTATAAGTTATACAACATCAACAAGTATTGAGAAATTTATTATTTTTGAATCACTGAAGTGGGCACGCAGTCTCGCAACTCTTCAAGTCATAGATCTCTATATACCATGCTCCTCTAGATCATCCTATCTTCTAAAAAAGATAGTGTACCTTCAAATTTTTTGTTTGAGTTCAATCTGTTAAAACCTTATATGGCGCTTTTAAGCACCGCTTTAATATCTTTGATGGTGACTACACTATCTTCCTCTCGATACTTTAAAAAATCTAGGAATTTAGCTGTTTCTTTGCTTAGGGGTATCATTGTTATGACCGACGGTCACATTCATCAAAATCTTTATCTCACTCTTAATGAAGAGTAGTTTCTTAATTGATCTTAATTCTTACTCATAATTCATCTCACAATTCTCTCCCTCGAAATATGGCATGAACTATACTGCCATAATTTCGAGAACTATTCAGAAAACTGTTAACGAGGAGACACTTATAACTTACTTCATTCACATGATTATGTCATGTAAATAAAGTTATTTCTTGATCCGTTTAGGAGTACACTTTCCTTATTTCACTTCAAGAACTCAACGAGATCTTTCATTAGCAGTACTTTTGCAAGTCACGCTTGTATCTTTTCTTATCTTTTGGTTAGTATTGACCATGACGATGCATTTCTATTGTGCCACGATCAATACTAGGACATCATAAGAGCTACCCAAACTTCTCTTGCTATGTGGGATACAAAACATGTGAATCATCACAAAACTTCTCCCGCCATGCAAGATTAACTAGCATAAATACTATGCCAAACTTCTTCCCATGTGGGATAAATCTATATACAAACACGCATGCTTAATCCAACGTAGGTCATATTAGACATGCATGTTACTTATTGCAACTCTTAACATAAAACATTCACTTATACTTCATTTTCCAATTAAATCTTTCCGTTGGTTACAATTTAATCAGAAAATTAGTAAACTAACAAAAAATTGTCCTGAACTGGCTTGACACAAGCCTTTTCATTCACATACCCCAGCATTGCAGCCGTTGACATGCAGCCGAGTGATCTCGTCGGTTAAAAAATAAAACATACAATATGCTTCTGCATCAATTCTACATCACCGTTGGGCAGAAAATAAAATTAAAGCATAAAACTCATAAATTAACTTGAAATACATATAACTACTCTTCAAAATTAAATTTTCCCATTGATTCGAATTTAATTAGAAGATAATCAACATCATTGCAGCGGAAACTTGATAATAAAATACATTCTTTTAGTCCAGGAGCCTTTCTTGGTCTTTGTCTACTCTATGAAAAATTAACCATGTTGGTGTAAAATTTATCAGAGATTTAAACTTCAACCTTAAACTCATTATAATATTGTTATCATCAACGTTGGTCAGAAAATAACAATACCATAATTTAACATAAACAAATCGAACTACTCCTCTAATTTAAATTTTCTTATTGGTTCCAATTTAATTAGAGGATAAACATAATCATAATTTACTGAATAAATATAACTGCTCTTAAAATTAAATTGTCCCGTTGGTTCGAATTTAATTAGAAGATAATAAACATTAAACTTTACAACGGAAACATGAGAAAATTCTTTATCTATTTTTCAGAAGCATTTTACTTTACTCATCTACTTTCTAAAAAAAATCCCGTTGATTTAGACCTTGACAAAATTCATCAAAACTGCTTCTGAAAATAATAAAACAAACTCTGTGTTTACTATTCATTCGGCTCGACCTGATAAAACAGCGTGTGCGGCCCAACGGCGGCCCAGCACAATGTGCGCGCCCGCTCCCCCACGCCCATGCCGTAACCTGGGCCTAGGCCGGGAAACTCCAAACCTATCTGGGCTGATTTCGGTCCGAGCGTCCAGAGCCGTTCATCTTGATCAATGGCCAGGCGGCGATTTCGGGCGGAATAAAAACTTGCCGTGGTGGCTCGGCCCAAAACCCTAGCATCATTTCTTTCGCCCTCTTCTCTCTCTTCGCCACGACGGCTGGCTCTCTCTCCCTTCTCTCTCTAGATGGCTCTCTCTCCCTTCTCTCTCTAGAACCCGAGGCTGAGCGCGCCATCGTCGAGCGGCCTTGCATCGTTGCCCTTGACCCCACGTGGCTCCGCTCCCCAAAACCTTAACCATTTCTTCCTCTGCCTTCTCTCTCTTCACTGCACACGCAGCCGAGCAAAAGAAGAAGAACAATGGTAGCGGTGCCGCCACCGATCCCCTCACCGGCGCGTGCTCTCGCCCTAGGCTGAGTGTGCCGCCATCAAGTGATCTGGGCGATGGTGCCCTTACTCACCCTAAAACCATAGCTTTCCCTCTCTTCGCCGCACACCACAGCCGTCGTACCCAAGGCCGATGCAGGAGGTGGCGACGCCGCCGTGGCGCCCTTCGCCGGTGTACGCGTGCGGCTGGAGCCACACATAGCGCCGTCGAGCGGCACCGTGGTGGTGCTCTTTGTGCCCTGCGCTCTTGTACGCGACGCCACAGAGTGCCAGCGAGCCGGTGGCTCTCTTGCAGCGCTCGCAGTCTTCCCGCACGATGGCAGCGCACGATTTAGATCTTGTGGTTTTTGTAAATCGGGTGATTGATGGCTTCAAATCCACTCGATCCTGTCTTCTTTGTAGAACCGAGTGATTTTTAGCCCTAGCTCACTCGGGTGACAGGAGGCCATAAATCACCCGAGTCTGCAGTAGACAGACCCAAACAGAAAATGCCTAAATGAAAAACTGTCACTAGTCAGGATGAGTTGCTTCATGCCGTGGAGCGAAAGCCAACCGATATTGCATAATATCATGCATCCCGATCAGAACATCGAAGCGCCACACACACCCAGCAAAGATCATCGATCGATCGGATGATGGCCTTCTTTCTGCTATGTTTGTGCTCTCTTCTCCTCGCTGTCCTCACAACCTCCATTGTGCAGCTGATAATCGACGCGTGTTGCCATCTCCCACCAGGACCATATCCATTGCCGATCATTGGCAACCTCCTCGCGATAACCAAGCTCCCGAACCTGGCGCGCCTCGCCGAGCGCTATGGGCCGCTGATGACGGTCTGGCTCGGCACCAACCTTGTCATCGTCGCCTCCTCGCCGTCCACCGCTCGCGAGATCCTGCAAACACACTACGCCAGCCTTTCCGCCCACAGGGCACCCGACACCTGGCGCGCTAGGGGCCACAACGACAACTCCATCTTCGCCCTCCAGCCGTGCGACCAAAAGTGGCGCACACTGGGCATGGCGCAGCTGCTGTCACCAAGGCGGCTTGACGAGCAGCAGCCGCTGCGGCGGGACGTGGCCCGTGGCCCGTAAATGTTTTGGTACCCCCGAGGCTACGTACCCATAGGCTTCAACGGTTCAGATGGTTTATAGGGACTGACAGATGGCCGATGCGTGGATTGCAGTTATCAAATCTGGTTACCATTAAATCTAAGGGCCTGTTTGGTAGAGCTCCGGCTCCAGCTAAAACAGCTTCAGTCGTGGCTTCACCTGTGGAGCAGCTTTACTCGTGGAGCTAAATCCGTTTTTAGAGACCGTTTGGCAAAATAGCTTCTCTGGACGGTCGAAAAAGTAAAATGTCCATAATGCCTTTTTCTCTTTTTTTTCTTATTACCTTACCTTATCACTTCGCCGCTCGTCCTCCACCCTCGAGCAACCGCACGCGTTGGGGGTCCTCCTCCTCCTCCCCGGCCGCATCGGGCCCTCTGCCGCCGCCCACTGCCAACCCTCACCACGCCGGTGCACCCGTCCCCACCTCCACTCCGCCACCACCCTTCACCACGCTGGCGCACCCGCCCCCACCTCCACCTCGTCGGCGCACCCGCCTCCACCTCCACCACGCCAGAGCGCTCGCCCTCCCTCCCGCATGCGCCTCCCTGCCGTTGGGGCAGATCCGACCTCCACGCGCTAGGGTCCACAGTGGCAGACGGGAGCTGGGAGAAGCTCGATTTTTCGGCTCCACCCAACGCAACAGGCATGTGAGAGCACGTTTCGTGGGGATCCTCGTGAGGAGCACCTGCAGAACCAGCCGTTTGGTATAGGGAGCAGAAAAACAGCTCGAGCTGCCTCAGAATCCATTCCAAACGGCCCCTAAAACAGCATGCTTACGTGTCATGTGGCTGTGCTGTGTGGCGGCTTCGTGTGTGCCCGTCAATTTCCAACAGGCAGCCAGGCAGGAATCCAAAGCGCACCGCTCATGGCCGGATCTAGCGGTGGGGCGGCCGGGGCTCGAGCCCCTCTACCGCCGGTGAGCCCCTCTTGAAAAATTTCACCATGGCTGCCTTGAGAAAGAGGGACTGTAAGCCTGAGATGTGTGCCCCTCCGCGGACCACACTCCCCACCTCATCCATTCTGCCATCCCTAACCGGCGGCGCATGCGAACCTGGCAGAGGAGCGGAGCGGCGGCGCGCGCTCACGCATACCGGCAAAGGCGGTTGGCGTGGAGCCGCTGAGATGCGCCCGGACCAAACGGAATGGGGGAGCGAAGCGGCGGCACCTACGCGGGCCGGCGGGCGCATGGCGCCTGTCGTGCAGCACGCAGCAGAGCAGAGGTATAGGCTACAAAGACCTGGGTGGCCGTTAGCCGGCAGCATTTGCTGCAGCCTGAAGAGGAAGAGCCGCACGTGGGCGCCGGCCATGGCGCATCAGCGGCCAGCCGGCCAAGCTGCCAAGGCGATAGGCACCCTGTGCGCTGCTCTTATTATTATTTTTTCCCCTGGTAGCTGCTGTTATTATTCAATCACGAGCATCTCTTGCAGTTGCAGCCAGGCTATGGATTGTGACAGGTAGCTATTTTTACCCTTGCGGTACCTATCTTTGTTAATTTCTTATTTCCTTCAAGTTCAATCCTTCCCTGCGGGCATTGATGTTTATGACAGTTTGTGAAATTCCTCTGTATGACAGGGAAACATCTTGCGGAGCATTACAGGGCTGAATATCTCAAGGTCACAAATTTCATCTTATAGATTTTTGTAGAACTTGCTGTTGTTGCATCTGAGTAAATGTGACTGCCTCCTGTATTCATAGTGTTCCTTTTTGTTTCTCAAAAAATTCATGTTAAGAGCACGCTAATTTGTCTTCTAGAATTCAAAAGAGGACCCAACCAGTGAAGTCTGTGGGTGTCGAGTCAATTACACCACACACTCTCAGAACAGAGTCCGATTCCATTGTAGTTTCTCCAGTTCTTCATTCAGGGTTCTTTGTTCTTGTTAATCGGTTCTCCATCCAACCAACGATGGATATGAGGTAATCCTTCAAGCGCTTGACATCCATCATTACAATAGAAATCAATTTTCCGGTTAACAGATCCATTCACTTATGGGTAACCACATCTCATCAAACAGTGTAGGAAGCGAGTTACCCAAGGTCCACTTTCATTGTTCCCTCCTATCGAAGAAAGGTGCATCGCACACATAAGCCAAAGTTGTCTCAGTGAAGATGCAATTCAATAATACTGTCGATGTCCCTTACATAACTACAGACACGCATTAAACAGACTCTGAACCAATTGAAGGCCGTGTAGTTCTTCAGAGACGGAATTTTTCAGCTGCCAATCTGTGCACGTCACAACAGAGTATGGCCCTGAGGTAATCATAACAGCACTGCACACTTATCCCTCATAAAGTACCTGCCCAACTAATAGTGAATCTTGCTCTCAATCCCATTGCTATCATTTAGATATATGCATACCAGACTATCAGCGCCATTCACTTATTGTTAGCTGCATCTATCTAAACATTGCAGGAACTGAGTGTCCCAAGGTCCACTTTCAGCGTTGCCTTCGATCATTGAAAGGTGCATCACACAGACAAGAGAAACTTGTCTTGGTGAAGATGCAATTCAAGCGGTGAATAATGTCTAAGTCCCCTGCTTAACGCCAGATTGTCATCAAATAGACACTGAACCGATTGAACGCCCTTCAGTTTTTCAGCCCCTGATTTTTTAATCTGCCAATCGGTGCATGTCTGAACTCTGAACAGAGTATGCCCAGGAGGTAATCATGAGCAGTCCACACTTAGAACTGAGAAAAGATCCATTTTCAGTCCTTGCATCATGAGTAACGATGACATAGTAGCATCATATTTACAACTAAGAAAAGATCCATTTTCAAAGTACCAGCTGAGAAAATCTAGTTGATCAGCTGAGGACACATAGCATCATATGACCACTGTTTTAAGTACGACAAAGGGCTGCCTCAGCTGAGGACACATAGCATCCCAATGTGAAGACTCCATAGTAATCTGGGTTACAGAGTATAAATGAGTTTCTAAAACGCAAGGATGAATTATTTTAAAAATCCTCTATGGAGTTTACTCATGAGTAACGATGACATAGTAGCATCATATTTACAACTGAGAAATGATCCATTTTCAAAGTACCTTGCCGATTAATAGTTCTATTCTCAGCCCACCTTGCTGAATCATTTAAAAAACTGCAGGAAGAGAGGGAAGCACGGACCAGATTCTAGGTTGGCTCCTAGGGAAGAAAGCCCCGTGACCAATGCATCAAGAACATTGATCAACTGACTGGGCGAGTCTATGGAAGAAAGCTATGGATTCAGTTGCCGGCGAATTCGACTTTGTTGCTACACACTCATATGCATCAAATGTTTTGTCCAGTCTAAATTGCAGCCTCCCTATACGTTGCTCAGACAGACCGACGAAGAAGGGAAGGGAAGACTGAAGAAGAAGGGAAGACCGGCTAACTCTAGCCTGCGATCATGGCAGGATGAACAGAAGAGGAAGCAACGGGACTCTGCCGATGAAGAGACCCCGAGGGAAATCATGACGTAACTCCTCGCAGATGTTATGTGACCGTAGAGTCTTTTCCGTTTCACGTATTGCGGTCCCTTTTTGCCTAGCATATTATCATTTCCAGTTCATCCAGTGATCTTCTAAGATCACCTCATATGTATTGTTTAATCATTTCTTTCAACTCGCGGATTAGCAATCTATCAACATTGTCAGCTTTAGATGCACTCCCAATCATATATTTGTCCAATCACGCAATCAGAACCTTTCTTGGTAATTGGCAATGGTGCCATCCAGAGTTCAAATTCTCAGTCTAGTTTTTTTTTTTTTTTAAGGAACCACATGGATTCCATTAGCCCTGTGACACAGCAAGATCGCTGGCCACCAGTACCATGATACAACTCGGTAATCATGTGATGCATAGACCTCCTCTACTTGACTGGTGGCACCCAATCTTACAAGTTCATGAGCGACTTTATTACAAACTCTAGACACATGCACCACACTTGCAGAAATAAAGTCCTCCTGCAGAGAGACTTTCAGATCATGTATAATTCCACCTAAGACAGTCTCTGGATAACGATGCATGTACCTTTTGTGACACCCAGTAACTACATCAAATCAGATCACGGTCCATCTTGAGACGACCAACCCCTCTGTCTCATTCTCAAATACTCCCAGTAGACAACATATTTTAAAAGATAGCCTGTTACAAGCTTCAACTGAGTTCATCACATACTCTAAAAATAATAGTACCGAATATCGAGACATGAAGTTCTCCTAATTTTAAACCTTATAAGTATCACCCTTCCATTATCTAAAAAAAGTATCACCCTGAACCAAACTCAACCTAGCTGGGTATCTGCATTGAGGTTGCCCGTGCATACTTCACAAAATTGGACAACTCGTATTCCCAGGATGGCATCACCTTCAGTTTTCTAATCCGCCAGATTCCGCCGTTTCCATGCGCTGTTCGGAACTGAGGGCGAGCGTAATCTCCTTGGATGCTCGGGGCGGCGTTGAGGAGTTCTAGAGGTGCGGACAGAGCAGTCTGTCAGTTTTTATTGTGCCCCCTTTGAACCTGCATCATAGAAACGTGCAGTTGTAAATGTCGTATTTAAGGTGGGAGCCTACAAATTGATTCTGGATGCACGGGTTATCCTTGTCAAACCACCTAACTATGATGGATGCCTGGTTTACACCTAGCTATGATCAGAACAACACCGTGGAGTGATGTATCAACATCTCAATAGAGGATTTATACCAAGCTTGATTTGTTTCATTCGATTATGAGTACCCATCAAACCTAATCCACCAATTTATAATACGTTCTTGCCTAGTTAAAATCCTCTACATTCTCTAGATGAAACAAATCACATATCCAATTGATCATGCTGTAACATAGAAATTCTTCAGCAGCGGTGTGACTCACCTGAAGAAAAACGTAGCATCCACTTATATTACAGCATAATGTCCACATCCGTCCATGCCTGATGCAATCTATCCGGACATGACTGTTGTTCTTCCCCTTTACCTGTTGAAATTTCTCCTTCATCTGATTAATCCTTCGTAGTATCGACCTATCACGAGCAATTAGTATACCATGGGATCACTTATGCAACTGATGCGCCATACAGAAAACGAGATCTGGAAATCAATAATTTCTATGTCGCCCCGCTGCTGAAGAATTTCTTGCCTCCATGTGCCCACAGCAGCTCTGTTGACGTGCGGCGTTAATTTGAATGAGAAGTGAAGTTAGTTATGACAGTGTTTATTGACAGCAAAGATATTTTTCAGCAAGATGTACTTGCGCGGTGGTATGGGTCAAGTGCTCTATGCGACGTGGATCTTCTGTTGTTGGGGGGTGGGGGGTTGCATCTTTTGCTTATGGTGAGGTTTGGAGTTAAGTTATGCCTACCTTCATGGTCATGAAAGTACTGAGAGCGATACCAAATTTGTCCTTGCATTCCGCCATCATAATCCCACTTTCACTCATGGCGTTCAGAATCAGATCGGCCTCTAGCACATCGTGGACGTACTTAAGAGCTGTGAACATGAGTTTAGCCTTTTGCAGCCAGTGGACTCTGGGCTGGCACGCTTGTGAATTGAGGCTCACATGACACTGTAATGCTCGCCCTGTACTGTCCATCTGCAAGCTCTGACAGATCAGTATCTGACACTTCTACTTCCATTTTCTTCATAGCTGTGTTAAACTCAAGCCTCAGCACACAATATGACACCTCCCAATCCAGCCTCTGTGCACGAATAAACATGATGACCTAATTAGTACGAACTGTTTGGAAAAACGTTATATTGTACAAGTGCAAATACATCATAGGGGGTGTTTGGTTCTTTAGTCGCTTCTAAAATTTATGTCACATCGAATGTTTAGATACTAATAAGAAGCATTAAATATAGATTAATTACAAAACCAATTACATAGATGGAGGCTAATTTGCAAGAGGAATTTTTAAGCATAATTAATATGTCATTAGCATATGTTTACTGTAGCACCACGTTGTCAAATTATGAACTAATTAGGCTTAAAAGATTCATCTCGTAAATTAGTCACAAGTTGTGCAATTAGTTTCGTAATTAGTCTATATTTAATACTCCATACATGTATCCAAACATTCGATGTGACGGGAATTTTAGGAGTTCCTGTAGGAACCAAACAGCCCCATAGTTCAATAGAATGTTACCATAGGCATTGGTGCAGTCCTGTCCAGACGAGCTAAACTAGCAGGAGGTGATTCCCTGGCCGACACCATTGAAACTACATTTCTAGTTGCCGTTCTTTCTATGTTAATTGCAGCTGCACAATTAGTTGCCCACACTTGCATAGCCCCTACAGCTGCTATGGCGTCCACTCTTGCCCCCGCATGGCT